TTATCTGCCTTCCTGGAATTTCCAAAACCTGTTTTTGGGATTTGGAATAAGGTAAACCCCAGCTCAAATCCTTGCTTCATCATTTAGCAGTTAAGACCCGTGAAATAGACTAATAATACCTCCTTCTTAGGAGATTTTGTGACGGTTAATGAGATAATGATGCATAAACTGACCACACAGTCAAGCACTTAGGAAGTGGACCCCAATTGGCAGCCATTATTATTCAAGGCTCAGCAAGTCACCTCCTGCAAAGAACCTGGTGCTACTCAGTTCAGCCTGAAACCACTCACACCTTCCGTGATGTCTCAAGACTTAGTACTTGATCTCTAATTGCTTACACTTGTTGCTTCAGAGGACTGGAAAATCCAACTTTAACAGTACTGAAGGGCTGGAGCCTTCAATCCCTCAGCAGCTCCCCCATTTGGGGGATGGCCTGGAGTTAACTTCTCCCACCATTTCTTTTCCTTGTCTACAACTTTGGGACTGAGGCTGAAATTGATCAAAATCTGTACTTCCAGCTCTCTACAAGGCAGTGTGCTCACTGGTCTGAGGCCCAAGCCCAGGGAAGACAAGCCCTAAACTTGGCTGGAGGTAAACCCAACTTCCCACGTGCGCACACTGCCCAAAAGGGAGCTCCTATCAGAAACCAGTCACACCCTGGACTTTCAGGAACAATAACCTGCAGGATAAGTACTGTTTCTACCCTCAGGCCACTCTTAACCTTAGGCCAAGATCCAGGGTCTGATAGGATCAAGTTCTCAAGAAGGGATAAGGGTGAAAGAGAGGGCCCAAAACCCACGCTGGGCCTGGTACTGGGCTGGTAATGAGTGACCTGGCCCTGGGCAGAGCTCGGAAGTGAGGGATCTACTTGACAAGGGCTGGGCCCGAGCAAGGGCAGAGAGAGCTTCCAACTCTCCCAGGTTGCCCTGCCTTCACCTGTTCCCACCTTGCCCCCGCCTCCCAGGATAGCCGGCAGTTGCCACACACACTCTCTGCCCTGGGCGACCTCCCCAGCCTTCTCCTCTCAGAGTTTGAGGCCCGGGCAGCTGCTTGTGACCACTTCCCCCTCTTGCCTCCTTGCCAACCTGGCCCCCCTCCCCTGTCCCTGTCCCTTTCTCAGCTCACTCACCTCCTCAGGGCTTTGCTCCAGCTTCTCCTCCATCTTCACGGCACCAGAGGGAGCAGTGCAGGGTTCAGGGGAGGCCCCCTCGGAGTTACTCTCCACGCCAGCTCCTGCCTCGCTCTCGGGCTTAGAGGTCTCCAGGCTGCCTTGGGGCACTAGCCCCACTCCAACCTGAGGTCCACAGTATGCCACCCCCCCACAGAACTCATAGGGCGGGGGGCATGGGGGAATCCCCCATACCTCAGACCCTGGCCCAACTCCGGACCCGATTCCTGGCCCTCCAGGAGGGCCTTGAAAGCTTAGCCAGGTCCGAGGATCAACCCAGCCTGGCTCCGGCCCTCCTGGCCCATCGCCTCCACCACCAGGCGGGGGCGAGAAGGCAAAATCCGAAGCTAGGTGTCCCGCCATGGGGAAGGAAGGCACCCCAAGCCGGGGGCCTGGTGAAACGAAGGATAGCCTAGGTACTGCACAACACCTCTCTCCCTCCCCAATCCCACCCACTATCCTTGACCTCTGGCCCCGCCCCCTGGAAGGGTGGAGGTGAGGGTGGGGGGGTGGGAGAAACTGAGGCGGAGGGTACAGTGGCAGTGGTGTCTGTGGAAAGAGAAAGCTGAGAGATCCTACAGGGTGTCACTACCGCACCTAGGTACAGGTCCCCCACAGGGACTTCACTTTCAACTCCAACAGGCTGCCAGCCCTCCCTCATTCTCTGCATGCCTCAGAGCTATCTGGGGTTCCTCAGACACCTTCTCCACATTCTTTAGGACCACAGGTGCTTGAGACCTCTGGAACTGTCCCCTCTCTGGGACCTAGCCACCCTCCCACCTCCTCAAACATTTATTGAATGTGTCTGGGGCTACCCCTCAATTCATGAGCAACCATAAGCATGCTGGCTAGCTGTCCTGCTGCCTCAGATATCCAGCACCCAACTTCCCATCCTGCCAAGTGCCCCCCATCTTCAGGGTAGACTACCAGACCCACGCATAACCCAGTCTTTCATATCAGACTCCAGAAACTGGTCCTCTAAAAGATCCAGTGATTGGCTTGGCACCCGTAGCACAGGGGTTACAGTGCCAGCCACATATACCAAGGCTGACAGGTTTGAATCTGTCCTGGGTTAGCTAAGCAATGATGACAACTATAACAAAAAATAGCTGGGCATTGTGGCGGGCACCTGTAGTCCCAGCTACTTGGGAGGCTGAGGCAAGAGAATCGCTTAAGCCCAAGAGTTTGAGGTTACTTTGAGCTGTG